CCGCTCACCTGTGCCCCCTGCTCCGCCGGGGCCCCGGGCCGGGGTGCGAGCGCCGCCGCCGCCGCCGCCGCTGCCCCGGCGACCGGGCCGCGCGGGGGCTCCGGGGGGAAGGGCAGTGGGTCCCCCGGTTGGGCCGCCCCGCGCCCCCGCCCCGCGCGCCCTGCCTGCCTCCCTCCCTCCCTCCCTCCCTCGGGCCGGTCTGGGGGCTCGGGGCACCGCGCCGGGCTCGGTGTTTTCCAGGCTGCGGAGGGACCGCCGACCGGCTCCGGCCCCGCCCCGCCCCGCCCCGCCCGCAGGGTCCTAGCGCCCGCCCCGCCCGCCGGGAGGGGACCTGGCCCGGGAGGGACCCGTCTCCAGGCAGCGCTTGGGAGAGGCCGAGTGGGCTCTGATCGGAGGGGCGAGTGATTGCTAAGAACAGTAATGCTGGAAGTTAACTGTGAACCCCTTCTCTCTCCCCCACCCCGCCCATACTCGCAGGTACACAGCTCTGCAACAACCTACTTACACACAAGGCACGCTGACCCCAGAGCCCAGAGACATCTCCACACGACACCCCAGAGACCCAAAGATGGCATGCACACACCCTACTACAACCAAGAGCAACTCAGAGTTGCCCGCAGCTTGCATCCCTGACCAACCGCTAGCCGCAGGGTTCACAGGCTGGCCAGACTTGGGCAAAATCTCCACTCTCAGCTGGAGCTGTAACAAGACTCCCCCGCCTCCCCCCAGCCCTCGACTCGGACCCTTGTCCATCACCACCCGCTCTGAGCACCCCTGTGTGTGTCCACACATCTCCCGTGGACTAGACGTGGTTCTCAAGAGCATCTGGCTCAGGCACTGGGGCTCCCTGTCCCTTCCTAAGCAGAGCCGCGGGGAGATGTGCCCACCAGCACTCCAACCACCCCTTCCAGCCACCTTCCCTCTGGGTCCTGGTGCCAGCTCTGCCTCCAGCCTCTCTGTGTGCACTGAGGCCAATAGTTCAACTTCCCCGAGGCCAGGCCAGTCCGTGTGGCAGAGGGCCCAAGGCCGAACATTCACTGACCCCAGGGACTGGCCCTTGACCACAGAGGAGGAGGGAGGGCCCGTGGTGAGTTCCCCTGGAGGGCAGCTAACAGGGTCCACAGGTGCCCACTACTTGCCCAGTGCTGCACAGTGAGTACATGGGCATCCTGTCCAAAACCCAGGTCTCAGCGTCCTCCCATCCCAGGGTTCCTTTCTCTGCTCTGGCTTCCCTATCCTCTCTGGGCCTTAGTTTCCTATCTGTAAAATGCGGGAATCAGAATGTGTAACCTCCTAGCCTCACCAGCCTAGAGCTCTGGGGTGGAACAGCTTCTCCTAAAAGTCGCTAGAGAAAGATGAGGAATTGTCTAATTGTGGGTTCACAAATGTAGTCCTGACATGCTTAGGACACTGAGATTTTTCAAGTGTATTATTATTATTATTAATTATTATTATTATTTAATCCTCATCTGAGGATATTCATAGGCTGCCTCAAGCACCCCCAAGCAGCAGGGAAAAGGGTCTGTCTGCTCAAGGGCATAAGAGTGAGCCCAGCCAAAACCAGTGTGGCTCAATGGATAGAGCATCGGCCTATGGACTCAAGGGTCCCAGGTTCGATTCTGGTCAAGGGCATATATCTTGGTTTCGGGCACATTCCCAGTAGGGAGTATGCAGGAGGCAGCTGATCGATGTTTCTAACTTCTCTCTCCTTTTCTCTCTGTAAAAAGTCAATAAAATATATTTTTAAAAAGACTGGGAGGGAGAGTCTGAGGGAGGAGTCTGAAAAGTCCCAGGACTCAGCCACCCTGCTTCCCATAGTCTGGCAGTGAGGAGTGATTACCCAGAGTGCTCTGGGTCTTACATGTGCCCCTCACACACAGAGAAACCCAGGCCCCTAGAGGCACAGGGACGTTCCTGAATCACACAGCAAGTCAGAGCCCATACGGGGACCTCAAGTCTGAGAATGGAGCAGGGGGGCAGGGGCAGGGCCCTTTTCTGGAGCCACTCAAGATCTGGTCCCTAACATTCCCTTCAACTCCCACACTGGGTTGAACTAATTAATATCTTAGACTACTGTGGCCCCAGCTTCTCACGGTACAGATAGAGAAACAAAGGCCCAGCCCAGCCAGAAGGGACAAAGTAGAGATAAGAATCTTGGTCTCTAGCCCTAACTGGTTTGGCTCAATGGATAGAGTGTCGGCAGGTGGACTGAAGGGTCCCAGTTTCGATTCCGGTCAAGGGCATGTACCTTGGTTGTGGGTACATCCCCAGGAGGGAGTGTGCAGGAGGCAGCTGATGGATTAACTGTGGAAAATGACCAAATGTATTACATATGTACATACTGGGGTTCCATAAAAATATGAGACCCCAGGACACATTGGGCAGTTGCAGCTTATATGCCATTTTGGACAAAGGTTTGGGGTTAAGGGAAAGCAGTTAATTCAGAGGTAGATGAGAAGGACCTAATGTGTGGCAAACAAATTCTCACTGAGCCATTCAGAAACAATGAGACCGAGAATAGAGTCTAACAAAGTTCCTGAAGGCCACTAATCATCTGAGAAATCAAATCAGCTAGCCCTCTCCCTTCCTCTCTGTAAAAGTCAATAAAAATATATATAAAAGGCCGAGACCGGTTTGGCTCAGTGATATAGCGTCAGCCTGTGGACTGAAGGGTCCCGAGTTCGATTCTGGTCAGGGGCATGTACCTTGGTTGCGGGCATATCCCCAGTGGGGGGTGTGCAAGAGGCAGCTGATCGATGACTCTCTCTCATCGATGTTTCTAGCTCTCTATCTCTCTCCCTTCCTCTCTGTAAAAAATCAATAAAATATGTTAAAGAAAAAGAGCAAGGGACATTAAAAAAAAAAAATATATATATATATATATATATATATATGAATCTTTGTCTCTACTATCTTATATAATAAAACCCTAATATGTAAATCAACTGAACTGCAGAACCGGTTGCTATGATGCACCCTGACCACCAGGGGGCAGATGCTCAACGCAGGAGCTGTCCCCTGGTGGTCAGTGCGCCCCCACAGGGAGGGCACCGCTCAGCCAGAAGCAGCCAGCTCGCTGGCAAGAGCACGTGGTGCGGTGGCAGCAGCCTCTCCCGTCTCTGTGGCAGCCCTAAGGACCCCTCGGGGAATGTCCGCCTTCTGGCTTAGGCCCACTCCATGCTGCAGGTGGACAGCCCCCGAGGGGCCCGGGACTGCGGGAGGGTGCAGGCCAGGCTGAGGGAACGGCCCCACCGGGCCTCTAGTCAACAATAAAAAGATAGATATTAAAATAATAATAATAATAATCTTGGTCTAGCCGCTCTTAGCCCAAGACTCTGTTCCTGTTCCCCATTATATGACACCCCTTTTACTACCCTGGGGGTAACCTTGGCACAGTCACCACCCCCTCTCTGCCTCAAGATTCAGCCCCATCCTCCCCCAGTCCCAAGTCTTGACTTGCTCCTGGGTCCCCCCTCCTACTCACCATCTAGTCAGACATATGGATGGCTGCCTGGATCTCCCTCTGGGACATGAGGAGAAGACCCCCCTCTGACTCCTCCCACCCCACCACCTCCTCAGGGGTCACTGGGCCTGCCAGTCTGGGTGGAGAAATTTTCCAGGTTGCCTAGGGCAACGAGACAGCATTCTGGGGTCACTGTTCTAGAAGGTTGTGCAAAGACCTGTGTGATGTCACCAGGAAGTAGCAGAGTGGAGAGGTGGTTCCAGGGGCCCCTCTGAAAGGCCCAGAGCAGAGCACTCTGAGGCCCCCGGGGCGGGCTTGTCCTTGAGGAAGACATGTCCTTTACAGTCTGGCGGCCACAGGCTCTGCACCCCAGTCCCTTCGGGAGCCGGATCTAAGTGTTTGCCCAGGGCGGGAAGGGCCTCCCTCAGCAAACAGCCCGAACCCTGCCTTGAGGGAGCCCTGCTAGAGCCAGAGAGTCACAGAGAGTCACAGAGAGATACAAGGTCAGTTACCCACATCCTCACTCTGCCTGCTGACTGTCACAGCCGCAGAGCATCACTGAGTCCTGCCAGAGTCCCACACGACCACACATCACCTCAGCTCTTTCCTGTCCGGCCAGCCATGCTTAGGCATGCGAGGTTACCCAGAGCACTGAAGTAGTCATTAGAGAAAGCATCGGACACCTAGTGAAATTTGATTTTCAGATTAGCAAAGAATCATTTTTAATATAGGTATGTCCCAAATATTTGCTAAATCATGCAACCTGATGCCTGAGGCTACATCATAAAGCCTTGAAGGGCTGCTCACCAGTCCCCTCATAGACCTCAGCCCCCTGTGGATAGAAAAAAAAAGGGGGGGGGGGAAGGGTACCCTACCCTGTTTGGCTCAGTGGATAGAGTGTTGGCCTGTGGACTGACGGGTCCTGGGTTCGATTCCAATCAAGAGCACATGCCCAGGCTGCGGGCTTGATTGGCAGTAGTGGGCATGCGGGAGGACAGCCAATTGATAATTATCTCTCATTATTTATATTTCTATCTCTCTCTCCCCTCTCCTTTCCTCTCTGAAAAGAAAAAAAAAAAAAAAGGTAGAGAGGGAGGGTATTTTGGGAAGTAACCTCACAGGGTGATCTGATCACAAATTCCCAGCTGGGCAGGTCACGGTGGGTAGTCATGCCCAGGCCTATAACCTCTGTAGTGAAAGGTGTTATGCAAGCCCTGTCCATTGTTCTTGTGCATGTAGGTTAACACACCGCTGAAATGCCAGAAGTAATCTCCCTCTGAGGGGGATTACCTTGCTTTCTCTCATCTTCATGTAATCTTCCTTACTTCCCTTCTTTATTTCAAAGGCACAGAAGAAACTACAAAACTGTCCTCCTCTAGATCTCAGATCTTGCTTTCCGGCAATTGTCATCATTTTTTGGCTCAAATAAACTCATAAAAATTCTCTACACGTTCGGACATTTCTTATATTGACACTTGGGAAGGTCCCAGCTCCTTCAGCATGGCTCTCAGAGGACCTTCTCCTTCAGGAGCAGTGATGGCCTACGGAGGGGAGAACCATGGTCTCGAAGGTGGTTTTCCCAGGGCGAGGCTTGTCCATTGCACCCCGATATGCTAACCCTTGTGATTTCCCCAAATGTGGGAAACTCGCCTGTATAATTTGTGGTAGTGGGGGACTGCGTTCGCGCTCTCCCCTGTAGAATAAATAAATTAATAATAATAATAATAATAATAATGGCCTACAGGCTTTGGAGGGGGACCCCCTCCTACTCTCCACAGGGTGACCCTACATGCTCCCCCAAGACCCTTCTACTCCCTTAGGGTGGACACTGTTCTGAATTAGGGTGCTGAGGGCCCAGCCTTGAGATTAAAAAAAAATAAGAAACCGTAAGAAGGAAGTTATGTGGGCTGCCAGGAAAGGGGCCTAGTCTGTCCCAGGGCTGGCGTCCTGGCCTGATTGAAGGGCCAGGACACCTCACCTTCTGAGGGGAGGGCCTAGAGTCAGGCGGATGGATCAGGGACATGTGACAGGAAACTCCATGGCTTTCAGAAGGCTGCATTGACCCAGCCATCGAACTGCCCAATAAGCATCAGCAGCAGGGAGACCCAGCCTTACGGGAAGGGGCGTGGGGGTTCACCTGGGCCTGAGGACCTCCCAAAGGGGGAGTCTCCATGGTTCTGCTCTGGGCCTTGCCCGAGGTAGGCCTGTTTTTCTGTCAAATGGCGATGCTCAAGATGCCTCCCCACTAGGCTGAGGCAGGTAGGAGGTCTCTTTAATTGTAAAGTCCTGCACTGGTGATGGTGGGGTTATTACCAGACTAGAGGCCCAGTGCATGGAATTTGTGCATGGGGGGTGGGACCCTCAGCTCAGCCTGCACCTTCTCCAATCTGGGACCCCTCAGGGGATGTCCAACTGCTCGTTTAGGCCTGATCCCTGTGGGACATTCCTCTCACAATCCGGGACTGCTGGCTTCCAACTGCTTGCCTGCCTGCCTGCCTGATTGCCCCTAACTGCTTCTGCCTGCCAGTCTAAACACCCCCTAACCACTGCCCTGCCAGCCTGATCAATGCCTAATTGCTGCCCTGCTGGCTCAATCGCCCCCAACTGCCCTCCCTTGCCGGCCCAGTACCTCTCAACTGTCCTCCTCTGCCAGCCTGGTTGCTCCCAACTGCCCTCCCCTGCAAGCCTGGTCCCCCACAACTGCCCTTCCTTACAGTTCTTGTGCATCTAGGTTAATACACCCCTGAAATGCCTGAGGGGGATTACCTTGCTTTCTCTCATTTCTCTCAAATGCCTGATCACCCACAATTGCCCTCCCCTGCTGGCCATCTTGTGGTGGCCATCTTGTGACCACATGGGGGCAGTCATCTTGTGCGAGGGCTTGATGGTCAATTTGCATATTACCTCTTTGTTATATAGCACATGTGTCAAACACAAGGCCCGCGGGCCAAATCCGTCCCACCAGGCCTTGCAATGTGGCCCGCACCGCGCTGTCATCACTGCACTCCGCTGCGTTTCCATCACAATGACAGTTTATGACTGTTCAGTAAACCATTCGGCCCGCGATTTAGGCTGGATTTTAGATTTTGGCCCCTTCTCTGATTGAGTTCGACACCCCTATAATATATAGGATTCCTCCTTCCCCTAAGCCTGGTTGCCTGGGCAGCAGGACCCTGCAGACCCAGAGGGCAGCTCCCAGGGCTCTAGCGTTAGGGACTGGAGGGCAGGGGGTGGGGAAGGATGGGACAGATGTGGAGAAACCCCTCCTCAGCAGTCTAGCATAATGGCTACGAGGTTGGCCAGAGAGACAAGCTGTCTGGGTAGAACCTCTTATTGTGTGATCTAGAACAATTTATTGAATCTCTCTGGGTCTCAATTTTCCCATTACTAAAACGGGGTAGACTAGTGTGGATTTACGCCATTGCAGATGGGATGAAGTGAGTTCATGCACATGGAGTGTTCAGCCCGTGACTGGCACACAGTTAGTGCTCAGTAAATGCCATGGCTGTTATCAGCTCTTTTCTTTTTTAAATGTGTTTTCTTTTTTTTAATTTTTTATTTACTGATTTGAGAGAGAAATCAACTTTTTGTTCACTTATATATGCATTCATTAGTAGATTCTTTTTTAAAAATATATTTTTTTATTGATTTCAGAGAGGAAGGGAGAGAGAGAGAGAGAGAGACAGAAATATCTCATCATTGATCGGCTGCCTCCTGCACGCCCCACACTAGAGATCGAGTCCACAACCCGGGCTTGTGCCCTTGACCAGAATCTAACCTGTAACCCTTCAGTCCATGGGCTGATTCTCTCTCCACTGAGCCAAACCAGCTAGGGCTCATTATTTGATTCTTGTATGTGTCCTTACCAACAGTCAAACCTAAAACCTTTGCATATCAGAATTACACTCTAACCAACTAAGCTACCTATCAGCTCTTGTCTTCTGAGCCCCCTTATTCCTGTCTGGCATTGTTATTGGGTTATGCCACCATATTAGTAATATCTATATATTTTTTTAATTGAGTTTTTACAGAGAGGAAGAGAGAGGGATAGAAAGCTAGAAACATCGATGAGAGAGAATCATCGATCAGCTGCCTCTTGCACCACCCCCTACTGGGGATGTGCCCACAACCAAGGTACATGCCCTTGATCGGAATCGAACCTGGGACCTTTCAGCCCGCAGACCGACACTCTATCCATTGAGCCAAACAGGTTTCAGCATATTAGTAATCTTTAAAATTCCATTAATTTTCATTATTCTCCCCAACATATCCTCTGACATAAGCAGGTTGAACTTGTCAAGAGAAGACAGCAATTCCAAGCTGGCTAGCTAAGCCTGCCGCCAGGAACCAGATAAGAAACCCAAGGACCACAACTAAGAAACCGGTTTGCTCCATAAAGATCCAAGATGGATTCTGAAACCCCTTTCCAAAGGACCTTTTGAGGAAATTTCATTAGCATGCTAAAAAAAAAAAAAAAAAAAAAAAAAAAATCACACCCAGGGGTGGAGACTTAACACTAAAATGAGATGTGGTGTATGGCTAGGCATGTTCCAAGCATGTTTGGGGACAGTGCATGCTCCCTTGGGAATCTGGGAACTCCGTTTTCTCAGAAATCTCTGCCCCTGAGACTTCCTAACTCCCCCTCATACCCTTTAAGACTTTCATAAATCCCCAGAATCAGGAAGAAGGCATCTTTAGAGCATAAGATCTTCCTACTCCATTCCTGGGCCAAAGAATAAAGTTTCTGACCTGCTTTTCTGAACACGGTGTTGGTCTATTGGTGTGAGCAACAATGGGCAGAATGACCATGAGTTCAAGTCCTTGACCCACAGGGATTGGTGACAACATCTGTGTCCAAAGCATGGCCTCTTTCCTATGTCGTTGATGCTCGACCTGAAGCATCCCTCTTCTCAGCCTGGGTTCACCCTGGCCGGTGTGACTCAGGTGGCTGGGCAGAGTCCTGTGCACTGAAAGGTCCCCAGAGCGATTGGTCAGGGCACATCCCGTGTTTCAGACTCCATCTCCAGTAGGAGGCGCACAGGAGGCAGCTGATCAGTGGTTGTCTCTCATCATTGATATTTCTCTCCCTTCCTCTCTCTGAAATCAATTTTTAAAAATACATTAAAGCAAACAAACAAACAGAAACAAAACAGCCTGGGTTCACCTGGAGCCTGAGGGTTGAAGAAAAAGCAGAGGAGGGCACTGTGACATGTTGTCCCCCTCCCTTACCCCCAATTCCAAACAGTTGTCAAAGGCCTGAGTCCCCTTTAAGAATTCTGCACTCAGTGGCTCCTTGCATCCCCAGAGCACCCTCCTCCATGTCTGACAACTGGTTGCTAGGACAGCAGCAGGATAGAGGGAGCTAGGCCATGCCCATGCCATGGGCTAGACAGGACTGAAATGTCCATACTCCAGAGGCTGGCGTGAGGAAGGTTCGATAGGGGCTCTGAGAACGGGGCTGAAAGCTCTGCCCTGGGTCAGGGTTCGTTCTGGGGCAAAACGCACCCCCTGGAATGGGCCCAAGCCAGGCTCCACCTCACAGGGCGCGTGTGGGAAACCTCAGAGCTGGTGTACTAAGAATATGCAGACTATGGCCTGTGGGACGAGGGAACACAAGCCACCCACACTGGCACCAGAGCTCCCACTTTGGAGAAGTGAAAACCCAGGGGCCCTCTTGATTGAAGGCCCAGTTTCAATACATTAACACTGAGGAAGTAGTCACAAGATTTATTACTTACGGGTCCCAGAAGCGAGGGAGCACAGTGAGGGGGAGGGAGGAAGGGCAGTTCCCTGTCCCAGGTCACGAGGGCGCAAGAGATAAACAACCAGATAGCAAGAAGCACTATTATCTACGAGGTGGCTGGAGCAAAGGCAGTAATTTTTTCACAGGCTCATCTCTGAGTGGTCATTTGAAAATGTGCCTGGGAAAAGCAAGGCCAGAATTTGTGGCGGGAGCCTAAGCTCCAGGCCCTTATTTACATGTCCAGACTCCCGGGTGTGAGCAGGGTTGACATACTTCTAAATGCCTCGGTGGCAACACAACATGACTGCTTTCTCATCACAAGGCCCTGAGGTGCTGGCACGGCCTGCCAGCCGCTGCCCCTGCCTGAGGCTCTGGGTCAGGAGCATCTCCACAGGGTTCCCCAGGGGAGGCCGCCTCCTTCAGCACCTTCTAAATTTAGGGCTGGGGCTCTGTGACTCATTCTTGAATCTGCTTTGCTCCCTCCTCCAGGATTGTGCTCCCACAGTATTTTCGTCCTCTGCTTGCCTCAGACTGATTAATAAGGCCCTAGAAATCCTGCAGCAGCCACCACACCCCGGTCCACCCCCTCCCCCCGTCCCTCAGGTCAGCTCTGGGCTTCTCTCTGGCCAGGTCTGTCTGCCTCCACCTGCCACCCCCCAGCCAGAACTGACCCAGGGGGCCATACTGGGGGCTGACGCCGCGCAGGACTGTGGGGGCAGTGCGGAAGGAGAGAGGGAGCCGAGACCTGCCCCCTCCAAACTAATTGCCAGGGAGGGTCTCACTCCCACCTCGGAGGCTCTTGGTGAGTCCTTGGCCTCTCTAGGTTTCTCTTTCCTCCTCTAATAAGGGGTTTGAACCAGACCTCCATCACGGAGGTCTGGGCCACAGCTGAAATGAGCGCTGAGCCAGATCTCCACCTTCAAACAGGGTGGCCAGGGGCAGGACATCTGACA